CCGACTTTGAAACTGGGGCTCTGGAAAGGCATCAGGAAGAGCAGTCTTACGGAGAGTTCCCTGCCCGCAGAATGCGACTTGAGAAAATCATGCAGGCTCTGCCGCGGGCACCCGTGACGAACTATGGCACCATGATGGATGGTAGTCGATTGGGTTGGATCAAGCCCGGCGACCCACGCTCTGAGCTCATCTTCGCGGTTCTCAAGGAGGGCATCGGGCTAAACGTTCTGCTCTACGGCCTTTCTCCTAAGGCTCTGGCCCAAAAGCCTGACCCAGAGCTTGTCAGAGCGATTAGCCCGATGGCGCATGTGCGAGACGGCTCCTACAATGTCCCCACATTTGTCATTCATGGGCTACACGATGAGATTGTTCCGTTCAAGACAGCCGAATCGTTCGTAAAGGAGCTGGACAATTCTGGAGTTGAATGTGGCTTCTTACCGGTTCCTGGAGTGAAACACATCCATGATCTGCATCTCAAGCCGGGAAGCAGAGAGTGGAAAAGCCAAGTAGAACCAGGATATCTGTTCCTGTTCAAGCATCTAAAGATGTCCTTTTAGGTAGACTTATAGTCGAACATAGTCACTCATCTCTTGTCACTGCAACGAATGAATCACATATCTGGTAGAGTCGATCGCCCTTTCTGGTACCATGCATGCCCTCGCAAAGCAGAACCTGGTTGTATTTCGATAAGTTGCGTAGCCAACCATGCAGCGGAGCAAATCAGTAGGCGCTCTCGGTCCTGATGTCAATACCGAGGTTGAGAGTACAAGCAAAGGTGGCCATTGCGTCAAGAAGGGTGTCTCTTATCTTCGCACACCGCTTGCGATGTAGGTGCATACTATCCAGAGCTAGCATCGTATCTATTGCGGACCGAATGTAAAAACGTACACCTCACATTTCGGCGACACGAAAATTGGACCGAGGAACCGGCGAACGGGCAGATCAACACTCAACCTACTCCGAGAGTCTGGTGACATATGGTGCGGGGCATGGTGTACCGGACACATGCAGCTAGTACGCTACAAGAAAGTCTCAAAAGGTAGCTTATGGCCCACTACGTCTCATGGTCACGCCGACGTCCAATCCACCATTGTTATTCATCCTCCGGCCTTCAGAAATGAGCACAGCCATAATCTCCGAAACGAGCAACATGTCCCCGAAAGGCAGAACGAAGATCACTCGAGAAGAAGAAGATCAGATATGGTCTTGGAACGCTTCACTTCCGCCAACTCCTCACTTGACTATCACCCAAGTCTTCACCAAGCAAGTCAGCTGCTCCCCTGACGCGCCTGCGGTGGACGCACCAGACGGTACACTCACATACACGCAATTGGAAGACTACTCTACGCGTTTAGCCCAACATCTTCATACTATACTCGATGAAGCCACTGCCGGTGAAATCATCCCGATCTGTTTCGACAAATCCATCTGGCTAGTTGTCTGTATGATGGCTGTGTCGAAGGCGGGGATGGCGTACACGACGCTGGACCCTGGCAACCCAACGGAGCGGTTACATGCGTGCCTGGCCACTATAAGTCCTCGAGTAATGCTTGCCGAAGAAAAGTTCAACGAGAGGTTTCCACGCGAAGTTGTCAGCAAGGTGGTCATCAATGTGCCAGAACTTTGCAGCAGCGATTCCGAGAGTGGGATGATCGGAGTGATAGACCTGCCAGTCGGCCTTCCGAATGATCTCGCTTATGTGTGTTTCACATCAGGATCGACGGGACTACCTAAAGTGGTTCAACATACGCAAAGCAGTGCGGTCTCTAATGTTATCCATGGTCATGGTTACGCAGCTAGTAGCCGCGTTCTCAACTTCGCCTCCCAGGCTTTTGCTGCGAGCATTGTCACGACTTTGAAGACGCTTTGTAACGGGGGTCTATTGATCCTACCACCAGAGCGAGAGCGCATGGGCGGTATAGCGAACTTCATCACCAGGAAGAAAATCACTCGGACCTTCCTTACACCAACGCTGCTGAACCTGCTGAAGCCAGAGGAAGTGGATTGCTTGCAGTTTTTGACCGTAGGGGGTGAGCCCGTAACTCAGCGACTCATCGATATTTGGGCGCCGCGGGTGTCGCTTGTGGAGGCGATTGGCATGACGGAGGGCGTCGGTATTGCGAACGCCATCGATGTTAGCGGGAAGAAATGTAAAGCTCGCCAGTTTATGACGGGTTGCGCATGGATCGTTGACCAAGACGATGCGAATACACTAGCGCCGATCGGGGAAACGGGGGAACTTCTTTTCGAGGGACCAGCGCTATTCCAGGGATACCGCAACGACCCGGAAGCTAATACGAAGGCATTTATCGACGGGCCACCTGTATGGGCGAAAGCGAGGGGGGAGATGAGACCCAGAGTGATGTTTCGAACGGGAGATTTGGCAAAGTATATCGAAGATGGCGTTGTGCAGATTGTGGGAAGGAAAGATACGCGTGTCAAGTTACATGGGCAACGCTTTGAGTTGGGAGAGGTGGAGAAGTCGTTGTTGGACAGCCTCCCATCGGGTGTGACGGTCGCAGCGGAGATAGTCGAACCGACAACCGGAACTGGGCCAATGCTCGTCGCTTTCATACACGGGCTTGCAACAGACTTCTCTCACGAAGTCAGGCAGTTGAGAGAGAGATTGGCGGACAGTCTTCCGGATCACATGATACCGCGCGGATTTGTGGAACTCAAAGAACGGCCGTTAAACCCGTCTGGCAAACTCGATCGAAAGCTACTGCGGAGTCAGGCTGCCAGGATGTCGTTGGTTGATCTGGTGAAGCATGTTGGCGCTCTAAGCAAGTCTGCGCCAGTGACATTGCAGGAGCGAACGATGCAACGTCTATGGGCCTCAGTGCTCGGCCTTCCTGTAGAGTACATCGGTTTGCAGGACGATTTCTTCCATCTTGGCGGAGATTCCTTGCACTGTATCAAGCTCATCGCACAAGCACGGAAAGAGCAGGTCATTCTGTCAATCGAAGACATCCTGGTGAATCGAACTCTCCAGGCTATGAGTACATCGGCAAGGTTCGAGGTATGCGCTCAGTCGACTACGCTAGGCGGTGAATATACAGCGCACACGATAGAGACAGTCGCACCGGAGATCTCACAAGATGATGTCGACGCTGTTGCTCTGGCGACGGACTGGCAGGCCTGGTGTGTCGGGCAGGGTCTGCTCAAGTCACATGGCTGGCATGACTACATGATCTTCAAGTTCCCCAAAACACTGGATGTTGGAAGGTTGCAACGCGCTTGTCAACAGCTCATAAATCAACACGCCCTCCTACGGACGGTGTTCGTAGTGAAAGCAAGACAAACTTTCCAGGTCGTTCTCAAGGCCAAGGCTTTCCCCTTCCGGTTCACTGTGGAGCAGTCTAGTGACAGTCAGAATATGGACGGGCTTGTTAAGGAGATCATTCAGCAGGATATGAAACGACACCGTCAACTCGGCGATACTTTGGTAGCTTTTACCCTTGTACATGATGCCACGACTAGCACAGCGCAACTGGTCCTTCGAATCTCCCACGCCCAGTACGACGCGCTCAGTCTCGACACATTGTGGCGCTCGCTCGAGGCTTTGTATTTTGACAGACCATTGGAAGTCATTCCTTTCACCGACTTCTGCGCAGAAGCAGTCTTAGCAAGCAGGAATTCTGAGACGTTCTGGAAGACAGCTCTGGCCAATAGCTCGATGAGCGAAGTTCGTGCTCACACTCGCCCTAGCGTGGACTGCCCTATCAACGGCGCCGTCAAGATTTCCGTTCCCTTGGTAGATCTGAAGACTTCGGGTTACACGAGCGCAACCGCTGTTCTTGCCTCATGGTCGATCGTGCTGTCGAAGCTTACGGGTCAGGACTCTGTCGTATTCGGGTGCATCATTTCTGGAAGACACATGATGATGCCCAACGTATCGGATATCCTCGGCCCATGCATGAACGTCATACCTTTGCGCACGGATGTCGTTTCAACCGCAAAAGCTTCTTCGCTTCTCGATGCGACTCAAAGCAACTATCTGAAGTCGCTGCAGCATGGCCATATTGGACACCATCACATCATAGAGAAGTGCACCAATTGGCCTCGATGGACACGATTCTCGACAGTCGTGAACCATCTCAGCTTCGGGTCGATCGAGCAGCCATTTCCAGAACTTGGCGGGTGCGCATTCGATGTGTACGAACCGGAGCATGACAAAGCCGACCTATGGCTACAAACATCTGCTCGCGACAACAAGCTAGAAGTCGAACTGAGATACTCGCAACAGGCTTTCTCGGAAGATCGGGTTAAAGCGGTGTTGAGCGGCTTCGTTCAAACTTACGAACAGCTGCCTCATTTATTGGAACAGAAACTGTCAGACATCCTTGCTCAATTCGATCTGGCTGCATTCCAGCACAACCTGGTCAGCCCCCGTCAAGCTAGGAAGCAGGCATCAAGGCCTGGGACAGAAGATAGAAAGATCTTGGAGGAAGTAGTTTGTTCAGCTTGGGAGTCGGTGTTGGGATCAGACTTCAGGTCGTCTCCTGGTTTCACACACCAAACTCCGTTCTACGAAATATGGGGCAACAGCATTGCTGCTGCCGCTCTTGCTTGTGAATACTCCAAGCGGGGATTTGCTACAAGTATTGAGGAACTGCTTGATTTCCCGTCTGTTGCAGAGACTATTGCTCTTCTCTCAACCCGCACAAAGGGCGATGCTGAGAAAGTCACTTAGCCTGCTGCACAACGAGCTTTTTGACATAGATAGTGCATTCATATCACAATAGACGTCGGCTTTTGATGAAACCTCGAGTATGAACCAATGTCGTGCTACAATGAGATGAAGATGTTTGCAGCCTGGAATGCGCAGCATGAGTCGTCCGGAAAAAAGGTGGCGTCCAATTTCGACTACTTACTGCACCTGCATGAATAAACTGAGGACCAGGCGAATATCGAGAGAGCTTACTGAAACAAGTCCACCTGTATTCTTGCATCAAGAGTCCATGTATAGAGCAGAGTTGATGGAACCTCGACTGCAGACCTCATGAACTTCTCCGGCCATAGGGCTCAAATGGAAAAATCGCCGCAATGCCTGCCATGAGGATGTACAACGCGGCGCAAATATATATCGGGACAGCGGTTCCCGTCTTTGCCGCCAGTCAGCGCGAACCCAGCCATTCGGAGTCATCTCAAACATGACAGGTTCAGTGAAGAGCAGACTTACATCAGCGACCGTCGCAATAACGGCACTCAAGATTCCCATAACCCTGTTCCAGGCAATCGCGATCCCGTTGCCGGTACCTCTGTGCGCACTAGGCAGCACCTCCGGCGTATAAGCGTACAGCGTGCCATAGTAGATATTTAAACAGAAGTTGATGATGCATGTGAACGCCACATTCTGAACAGCAGTCCTGACCTGCGTGTACGCGAAGAAGAAAGCCATGGTGACCAATGCTCCAATAACCATGGTATACTTACGACCAAGGCGCGTATGACACATGTAGCCCGCTAGCACAGGTCCCCAAATCCCGCTAAAGTTCACGAGGGTGTAGTTGCGCCAAGTGATGTAGGGTGATGGTTCACCGAAGGCGGCGCCGCGAGAGGAGAGGTAGGCGGGGAGGAAGACATTGTAGACTAAACAAAGGTGTACAAAGTCAGCGTATGTCTCACATGCAGTTCGCACAGAGACACTTACGGGGGTAGGCGAGGCCTATCAATGTCCACGAGAGCCAGATCAACGATGTGCTAATACCTATTCGCTTCGTGGAATACAGGCCGCGGAGGTGCATATTGATCTCTCCCAAGCCCCATTTACTCTGATTTCCACGTGCAGCGATACGATCTACGGTGCCACAGTCTTGCATCTGGGTGACGGTGAGACTACAAGGTCGATTGTATTTGGTGGCAATGAAGTGGAGGGTTTCGACGCACTCGGCGTCTTTACCTTCGCTGACGAGGAATTTGGGAGTCTCCTTGAGACGGATGATGGTGATGCGGAGAATAGACATTACAAAAACCAAGGATCCAGAAGCGTACCATACGTAGCGCCAACCTTGGTTGTTAGACTTTGTACAGGGGCCTGCCGTGGGATCGAGGGATGGGTCTGCGCAGCTAAAATTTGGAAGGAAGGCCCAGGCAAAAAAGCCAGCTACGAGCTGACCAATGCCTAGTCAGAGTGTTAGTACTTAGGCTTATAGATGCCATCCCTCGGAGAAGAAAACAGCGGAAGATTGGGGATATATATACCCCACCAAGCTGCCATGAGCGTAAGCATCCACTGCCTATAGCTAGGCAGATACTCCAAGAACACTGCCGTATCCAACACCAAATTTCCTCCGGCGCCAAAAGCACTCAAACATACGAACAAGCCCAAGACTTCCCAATTTGGGCTTGCTCCAGCCACAATTGCAAAGATCGAGCAAATCAGCAAACTAACGTTAAACGCTGTCTTTCGGCCGATGATATCGGCTGATAAGCCCCAGAATAAGGCTCCCGTGAGCATTCCGACGTAAGCAGCGATGGTCAGGCCGTTTCGGTAGGAAGGCTTGAACTCAAGGGCGGCTTGCGCGGCGATGACGGACTGAATGAGTAGGATGAGGGAGTCAACGGCGTAGCCAAAACCATTCAGGACAAAGAGCTAAGCCTTATTAGAAATGCTCAAAGATGTCAGAGACACATCAAGTACCTTCCATTGATACGTCGTGAAACCGATCTGGGGACTGTAATCAGTACACACCCACAAGAGTCTTCTCTCAACAAGCTTACCTCATCGATCGCATTGTTAACCAGATGCATTTTGGCATTCAGCACAGGATCAGTGAGTTGTAAGATGTCGTCTTTACCCAAGCTACTCGTTTCACCGCAGGCGTGCTGGTGTTCAACATCGTGCTCGTGCTCTTGCACTTTCCCGTCGTGAACTTTGCTCTGATCGTCCATCTTACTATACCACACCTCAATCTCCGAATGCACTGTACAAAATTTCCAACTCTTTGCAAATGTGAGAGGTGCACGCGACGACTGGGAAGAAAGAGAAAGGCCAAATAGAGGGGCACCGAGTGTAAGGTAGATCCATGTATCTTGCTGGCACTTGCAGCGAAGGACAAGACTATTCCGATGCTGTGCCCAATGCAACGTCCGAACTCACCACGTTGTTCGCCTGGTCCGAACGGCTGCACCAATGGCAACAACCCAAGGAATGCGCTTGTCAGCTGGTAGCTACGCTTTGATTGGTCGGCATCATAATCGGCTGTTCGTGACAGGGGTATAAGCTGAGGCGATCGCTCTTGGAAATCCTTGGGTTGTGATACGGGCGATACCAACGTGGGAAGGTGCGAATGAGCACAAGAACGTTCCGTCGAATCGGCAGTCGACCATTCTCGAGTTGCGCGCAACGTCTCTGAGCACGGAGATGGCCTCAGTGGCGTGAAATCTGCAATACCAACTGGGCCACCTAGGGAGATGAGTTCAGGTCTTCCCATCTGCAATGTATATGTATTTGACTTGACTATAATCTGTATTGTGGAGTACGACTACGTGCACCTTCGTGCAGTGAGAATTGTGGTATAATCGTGATGGCGCCCCACTGTTACAACATTAGCAAGGAAAGAAAGGAATCTGTACATGATATCGCCGTAAATATAGCCCTGGTATCCTAAACGCCTTGCTGAAGACAAGATGTACACAATGATGAAATGCATCGGAAACAAGAGGATCCCATGTAATAGTTCCTACTGCCCGGGTGTTTGTGTCGGAGTACTCTCTTCGGTGCTGGCAATAGCACTGTCGCCTTCCGCGACCATTGTGACCGGTGTTGGTGTAATCCTTCGTCGCTTACTCTCTCGCGCATCTGCATCAACTTCCGGCATAGCATACAAATCTCGTTTCTTGGAAGTCGAAGATGCATCGTCGCGGTCTGACTCGCTCATTTCGCTTTCTCTTCGCCCAACATGGGCAGTGCTTGGTACCCCGCTGACCGAGCTACTTGCACTGTGCGTCGTGCCCTGGCCGTGAGCTGGGGTCAGAGGCGGTGTCCACATCGGTACAGGTCCAGAATTGGCAGCAGCAATACTAGGCACTGATGACATAGCCGGCGTTGGGGCGTTCATGTTGCTTTGGTCACCTGCACCGGGCGCAAAGGATGAAGCAGTAGCAATACTGGATACCGAATTGCTTCTTGTGGGACTTCCAGGCCTTGCGGGAACAAAAGAGCTCGGAGAGGCCGGGAAGCCTGCAGAGGGTTGCCTCTGCATTGGTGGTGCAGTAGCCGTTGTGGTGCCCGGCATGGTTCCGTTTGTTGGTGTAGGAGTCGGGGTAGAGTTGTTTGATGTGTGCCCCCCCGTGGTGTTGATGGCAGCAGGTGTCTGCTGTGGTCGGCTATGAACAGCTAAAGGACCCGTGTACTTGTCGCCGAGTTCGCCAGGAGCAAATGTGATGGATGAGCAAAAGCCATCCGACGAGGTCATCAGCAGCATGGAGCCGTCATTTGACCTATTGAATGGTAAGTGAACTGGGAGTCAAAGCGGGCCTCGGCACGTACCAGGTGATGTCTGTAAAGGTAGCAAAGTGCAAGTTGCTGACGATGCATAGGGGCTTCTGTTGCTGCGTATCGTAGATGTGGATAGCGTCTTGTGTTGCGACAGCATACATCATGCGATAAGGCAGTGTAAAGGCAGACGGAGGCCCGGGGGGCAGGCCGGATTGAGCGGATGCTTCGCCATCGGCGGGCTTGGGCGACGGCGCTGATAGGCTTGGCGAGGGAGAAGGCGCACTCGTGATGGGCGGGGGGTCCATGGATGAATGCGAGGTAGGGGGCTTGGAGGGCATGACTGGATCAGGCAGAGAAGGAATCTCATCGTCCATATTCGAAGTATCGATGGTGATGTGTCTGGTGGGTGGGGCAGACTGGCGCAGGGTATAGTAGACGGGCGAGCAACGGACGGCGACCGAGGGCTTCTTGTGGCCGGGCAGATAGGCGACGGGTGGCTTGTTAAGGCCGGCCCGGGTATATATGTAGACTGTATTCGTGATGTCGTCGGTCTGCTTGGCTTCAGCAACGGACGCATGCACGGCCTTGTATTGGCCTGCCGGCGTGAACAACAAGCTGCCGTCCGGGGCAAATGTAAGACGTCGGAAGAAGGACGTCAGGGTCTCGTTGAAGTAGAGGGGCGCGTTGCGGAGGCCCATGGGGCCCATGGTGCCAATGCTGGGGGAGTTTGGCATGACGGCGGGCAGGGGCATGGACGGAGCGGGCGAGGCGGAGCGGCGCATGGATGGAGAGGAGCCGAAGGACGAACGACGGCTGTGCGAGGTCGGCGGCGGATGCATCGTGGGCAGGGCCAGCGACTGGGGCGTGCCGGGCATCGACGGCACGGGCGAGCCGATTGCCATGGCAGCATCAGCGGCAAAGGCGCGGCTGCCGAAGTCTGGGGGCGCCGGGCTGTTGGAAGAGACGCGGCGGGCGGGCAGGTCCATCTTGGTGACCTTGCTGTGCTGGGCCAGCGAGAAGTGGCCGTCCTTGTTCTTCAGGGTGTAGATGTGGACGGAGCGGTCCGACGACTGGGTTGCAATGTACTCGTTCATGGGGTCCCAGGCAACGCCCTGGACGTAGTGGTTGTGCTCGGCAATCTGCCGCACGATGCTTCCTAGACACGATTGAGCAGCTATCGGGGACGTGGTGGCTGGGCACGGGGCGTACCAGTGTGAGCGTTGTAGATGCGGGCAATGTTGTCCATGCTGCCTGTGATGAAGAAGACGCCGTCAGGGGACCAGGCCAGGTCGTAGATCTCGGAGCCTATGGACCTGCACATGGCCTTGACTCGCCACGTCTCCTTGTCTTCGAGGCCCTCGTCCAAGTTGTGCGCCGCCTGCTTCTCGGCGGGGACCCAGAGCAGCACGTTGCCGTCGTCGCCGGCGCTCGCGAGCATCTCGCCTAGGGCACGTCAGTTGCTGCTCTCTCTTGCACGTGGGCCGGAGGCGTACCCCGTGGACACCATCGCACCACGTTGACGGCCTGCGTGTGCTTGGCCAGAGTCGACAGGTAGGAGACGGTGCGCTCCTCGCCGTGCGCCTCGACGCTCCAGAGCTGTTGTACAGGTCAGCGCAAGTCCATGCTGCTCGCGGGGAGGGGCTGCCGCACCCGCACGTTGTTGTCGCCGCCCGCTGTCGCCAGGCGTCCCTTGCCGTGGGGCTCAAAGTGCGCCGAGTAGATGGGCGCGTTCTCGTTGTGCCAGGACACCAGGAGCGGAGCAGCCTTCATCGTCGCTGGGGCCGCTGCTCATTCCGCACACAGGCGCAGGCGTAGGGCGTCCGTGGGTGCTGGCTGCACGTGACGGGTCGTGATGTTGGCGGGAGGAGGGCAGGGCATGCGGGTGAGGCTCTGGGCTGGCGGTGCGGAGGGCAGATGGATGGTTTGCCTGTGTCTCTGGGTGCCCAGGTGGTTGGAGCGCGGACGTTCCGCGTCTGCTCCTAGCCGCATCGGGAAAGCTCTTTGGTTTTGGTTTCACTGTAGCCACCAGCGCCCGTCCAGCCTCCCACACGCCGGCCCTCATGTAGATCCTGCAAACACAGGCAACCCGCCTGCATCCACCATGGCAGACGACGCTGCCGCCCGCCTCGAAACTGAGCTGCTGCTGCTAGATGCCATGTATCCCCACCAGACGCACTATCATCCCAAGTCACGGGAATTGAGCTTCTCCGAAGATGATCGTGCCTCGCTCCTTCTTCGCTTGCCCGAGTCGTATCCGGCATCAGGGTCGCCCGACATCATCTCTGCGACTGACGCAGCCAAGCACGACCTGCGGACGCGCATTAGAGATGCCGTCACAGGGCTTGGGCTGGCCCAAGGCGAAGAGGCCCTCGATGCCATCCTCGCTGCCTTTCGGCACATGCTCGATTCTGCTCCTGCTGAATCACACAGCGGCTCGACCGCAGGGGCCGACCAGAGTCTAGACACCTCCAAGACAGTCATTGTATGGCTGCACCACCTTCTCAATACCAACAAACGCAAACTTGCACTCTCACCTCCGTCTTCAGTGCCACCCGTGTCTGGGCTCACCAAGCCTGGATATCCTGGCTTGCTTGTCTACTCCGGCCCCTCCGTAGCTGTCACAGAGCATGTCAACACGCTAAAAGCACAGAACTGGCAAGCGTTCCAGGTACGGTATGAAGAAGCAGAGCTCTGGCACTTTGCACATGGTGCCGGCGTCAGAGAGATGGAGACCATGAGCCATGTCGTCAAGGGCGTCGAAACAGAAGGAGCCATTGGGGCAACGCAGAAAGAGGAGCTTCTCAAAGCTATCGGTATCAAATAAACATCCCACCAGTTCTCTGCTACACTTCTTCCAAAGGCGCCCTCTTGTTTTTTGACGTGACCCCTGGCTCAAGTAATCGTTAGGACCTCCGCTTATGGATGTCCATCTGGACTTTCGTGGTGACGTGATGTACCTTGGATGTACGAAGGAGCAACATGTCATTCGAGGTTGGCCCGAGCGCGCCAGTTCGCATCCCAAATCATCGAAAGTCTGCCGCAGCACCATTTCGCAACACCACGGCGTCATACAGTCTCCAATATCAACACCCCAATGGCTGCACCAATGAAATGCATGGCCACGGCTGTGAGGAGTATTTCAGGTCCACGAGCGGCGCGCGTTCCGCATCGAACATTCGCCTTTAGCACATCGAGTCCGGTCGCATCGTCGCGGAAACCATCAGCGGGCAACGCAACGTGTCGGAGGGAATTACAGACAACGCGCATTGGACCAAGGAACGCTGCAAGTAGCTGCCAAGGACACACAAGGGGTTTTTCGCAATCGACACCACGGAGCAAGCTCAAGACAATAGATCAGATCCGGGCCAGGAACAAGGGCGGGGTACGTTTCGATATCCAAGGAGCTATGTACCAGATGGGAGTACTTAGACGCCCGATCAAAGGCTAACGCTTCATAGCCATTCAATCTCACAGCAGCCATCCTCTTCGTCGCAGCAGGTGGAGGATTATGGGCCTACTTCACATACGAGAAAGAGCGCATGGCAAGAAAGCGAATCGCCGAGCAAACAAAGGGTATCGGAAAGCCTAAAGTAGGCGGTCCATTCCAGCTCCAAGACCACAACGGCCAGCCATTCAGCAACGAGGATATGCTAGGCAAATACTCTCTCGTACGGCATCGCCCTCGACCCAGTGTGAGCATTTACACTAACAACAGTGTCGTAGGTCTACTTTGGTTTCACTCACTGTCCCGACATCTGCCCCGACGAGCTCGACAAAATGGCTCTCATGTACGACAAAGTCGTCGCCGAATGCGGAAACGTCATCCTCCCCGTCATGATCACATGCGATCCTGCACGCGACAACCCCAAGGTGCTCAAGGAATACCTGGCAGAGTTCCATCCTGACTTCATCGGCTTGACAGGCACCCACGAGGAGATCAAGGATACATGTAAAGCGTATCGCGTGTACTTCAGCACCCCCAAGGACGTCAAGCCTGGCCAAGACTACCTGGTTGATCACAGTATCTACTTCTATTTGATGGGTATGTTGTCTTGCTGTCATCAGGTTGCACGTACATAGGCTAACAGATCTACCAGACCCAGAAGGCGATTTTGTCGAAGCCATCGGGCGCAACTTCACGGCGGAACAGGCTGCGAAGGTCATCTCAGACCACATCAAGGATTGGGAAAAGCCGTTGAAGAAAGAGACGAGATGGGAGTAGACGACTGCGCACTGAAGGTTGGAGATGCGAGTGGCTCGTGTGAATTGCATGCTATAGAACGTGGCAAGGACGTGCGAGTCACACCAGGTGCAGGGAGTGATGTATATATACTTTTGTAAGAATACGGTGAGTGGGGCTTATACTATAGCATGTATGCAGGTGTGTATATTACTTGTCTGAATACCCATATTACAAGGACAAAGCATTTCGCTGTAGATGCAACACGTTCGTGAATGAGCTGTTGCTATGCATCCTTTGCGGCAGAGTTGGCACGGCGAATGCTTGGTACTGCTCTTCCGGAGCCAAAGTGCAAGGCAGGTGGCGCCCTAGCAGATGCATCGATGGGAACACCACGTGGGTGGGTAAGGTGTGGGGCCGTAGATCATCCAGTGTCCGCACGTTTTTAATCGTAGGTTATATTTTATCTATTTACTAAAAAATCTACATGTCCTTTGACGGGCCGGTAACTCAGTGGTAGAGTGTAGGACTGCAGTTAACCCAAAAAACCGCCTTCCCGAAGTCACCGGTTCGACTCCGGTTCGGCCCTAGGTTCTTTTTACCCGGGGGCTTTTCTTTTTGGTACAGGCTGTATCTCTCTTTCTAATTAAGGCTCGAAAAGCTATTTATCTTTTTCTTGACATGCATTTCTTCGCAAGCGTACAATCGCCTTCTTTCTTAAGTTTCCTCTAACATAAGCACTTGCTGTATTCTCTACTTAAATGTTACAGAGACAGCTTTATGTCGTTCTGCACAGCGTGTCGCATACATAAGGTTTAGTATAAAAGTGTATAGACCTGTACTCTAGAAAGAGAATAAACTGTCTGTCTACAAATGTTCTTTTAGACACCTACAGAGCAGTTACATTAGTTACACAAATTACATACTCTAACGCAGAGATCTATACTAGATTATTCGGCCTCTCGCTTAAATGCATATTCTACAATTTATGCGGCAATGCGATATAACGTGTGTCCTTGCTTTGTACTTAGGAGAAGAGTAGTCGTCATAGCATTGCAATGTAGCCGTATCCTCTGCCAGCATTTCAGTGCACAACAAGCTATTCCAACGCGTATCAAACTGACAGACTAAGGATTTAGTCCGTGTTTGACGCGGATTAGAGCCCTGTCTTGGTTCGGGCAATTCATCGTTATAGTACCTTGGTATACTGTAAAATCTTAACTTTGTGCACCTATTCTTTGGTATCAGTGCGATAGCTTTGATAATAGACTAAATGCTGGAAGGAAGCTGCAGTAACAGCGTTGGGATGTGCGTTCAGATTGGTTCCATTCTTTTTCCCCGGACAAGTACATTGAAGAAAACCCATGAGTCAACCAGCACAACGAACGGCAAGGGTGGGGCCTAGGCGCCCAAGAAAGTGATGAGAACTCTTATGCTGCGTCTCTGTAGATCAGTCAATCTTGTTCGCAGTTGATGGCTGCTTATTACCTAGGTAGTGTTCCGGTGCACAACGTCTTGTAAGACTACGATTAAAGAAACGACCTTGGGATGCAGCATAGCAGTTGCCCTGTTTTGGCATCTGATTGGATACGCGTATTGAACACAAATGATATCCTCAAGGTGTGCTTTCGTTCAGAACCACTACAGCCTTCGCAAAAGCGAGGCTATCCCCCTCAGTGAATACAGATAGCAGGAAACTGAAATGGCTTTACTAATTGCAAGGCTACGTCAGACAAAGAATCGTATGTCTTGGCTGGGTTCCACCACCTCCAGTCTCATGAATGTATCCTGTTCTTGATCGCTTCTACAATACTCTTCAGACCACTTAGTCTGGCCTCTCTCGTCTCCCCAAGGTATAAGCTTGCAACAGGCCATGCATGAATACCTCCCGGCTCTTCCCAGCTGTCTACCTCTTTTCCGGTCTTTTCCAATAAGCTGATCAGGCGCCTTGTCTCCGGCCCAAGCACTTCTTCACTACCATATAGGAAATACCATCCTTGTTCAGGACTAGCCTCTCTCCACTTATTCAAATCTCTGCACGTTCCGGGTGAAACGAATGGATCATCTGCTGACACCTTGCTGCCGATGTATTGACGGCCGTATAGCTCCAACGATGAACTGTTGAGATAGTCGGATTCGGTGTTTCGATTTTCGCGCGATAGAATCGTGACCCACGGGCTGATCATGATGGCAAGGCCAGGTTTCTGATGTCGCAAGTCCGTGTGGTCAGACATGTATAGCAGAAAGCTCAAGATGAGGGTTGCGCCCGCAGAGTCTCCACCCACGACGACACGAACTGAAGATTGAGCTAGCGATAGAACGTATTCGTAGCCTGCGACCGTCTCGTGGAGTTGGGTAGGGTATGTAGCGTCTGGGACGAGCGTGTATTCCAAAGCGAATAGAGCCGGATTGCTGTACCCAGCGTTCTTGAGCATTGCAACCCAAGCGAGTAGAAACTCCATATAGAAGAAACTACTCCCCATGGAAAAGCCACCTCCGTGACAATAGTATACAATTACATCTGGCTGCTCTTGCTGGTTGTGCACTATCCATACACCTCTAAAGTTTGGCCTTTTAATCTCAGTCCACCTGATAGGACTGGTGACGATGCCGTGTCTCAGCATACGAAACCTCAAGAAAGGGAGTGACACGGCTTTGGAAAAAAAGACACGCCCCAGAAAGGCGGGCATGTTGGCGAATGCATAGCGAACGAAACGGATGACCAAGTCCTGGAAAGGCGTTGCCTTCTGCACGAAAGGGGCACGATGTTGATGTGATACGAAGAAGCGTTCACGAATGAACTGGTACGGTATGGCGACGGCTTTGGGAGCTGTGAGTATTAGTATGCCCACGTACATGACATGTTGTAGCTTACCCAGAGATGGCAGGGCTGGTATCAGCCATGTCAAAAGTGGCGGGAGCCCAATCTGGACTATCAATTGGGGAGCGAGGAAGACGAGGAAAGCTATGCAGTCCAGATAAGAAATTTGACTCAGTATCATCTTTACAGAGTAGAGGATGGACAAAGTATCTCAGCCACGAGCACGCCTAGCGACACCGTTCAGGACTGGAATAGCGATGACGCTGACAAGGGTCCGGCTAAGCCACAATCGCCTAGCGCCACATCTAACGGTTCCGCATTGATCATGCTTTCCCTGAGCTTCGGCCGGGCAACCTGCGAACCTCTGGAAAGACGTGAAGCCGGAGTCACATCAGGCGGAGCGACACCCAGACACTGACTTGCTCAAACGAGGCACGGAGCGGTTCCCACGTAACGGAAATTAGCGGAGCTGCGCACGGACCCGTCGGTCGGTCGCGACTTCCAGAAAACTTCCGCGACTCACTTAGCTGTCACTCCGCAAACACGTCTGTCCGCGCCTGCAAACAAGCCTGCCTGCTTGCCTGCGCCTGCATCGAGGGGCTGTCTTACTTCCATCTTTCCTTGTCTCTCATCCGCCATTTCCCATTGATGGAGTAACGTCTGGCGCAAACATCGGTTCCAACTCTTACACGGCAGCCTGACCCCAAGTCGCGAACTTGTCGGGCCTTACCATGGGCGACCCCGCAACCGATCCCAAGGCGGCGCCGCTCGCCGACGAGCTGAGAGAGCTTGCTGTGTACGTGCGAAATGCCTAGGCTCTGAACTCATACTAACGTAAGCAGGTCGCTCCCCACGACGGCCTTCCCGAAGAACTTCTTCTGCGCCCTATGTAACGAGCTTGCGTTCGACTCATACAAGCTGATCTGCTGTGCTAAATCCATATGCTCACCATGTGCGTACACCATATGCTGCTGCCGGAGATTCTCGCAGGCGCTAACGCGGCCCAGGTCAAGGAAACCTCCAGTTCCCGACAGCGTGTCCCTCGTGCGACCACTCCCCGCTCGAGGCCGACTCTTGCACACCGAACAAGTCTCTGCGTAACACGATGCGAGTGTGGCTACAAAAACAGAAGAAGAAGGAAGAGGCCAAGGCCGCGGCACAGGCAGCTACCCCGCCCGTCGAGGTGACACCGGCCGCGCCTGAGGTCCTGCCGGTCGGTGATGGTACAGAGCAGCCCGTAGACAGTGTTGAGGATGCGCACAAGGCAGAAGGCGGTGCTGCTGAACAAGCTGCTGGTTCTGCCGAGGCCCCAGAAGAGGCTGGACAGCGCGCCGGCTCGGCCGCGGCCCAACCAAAGGAGGTAGGTTGTGAAAGTCTTTCATTTCGCTCTTGCGCGAGCATGCGGGTACTGTACAATCAGAAGAAGAAGAAACCAAGCAGAAGAGACATCGTCGGGCCTCTAAGCATTGCAAAACATGGTTGCCACACGTGCCAATGACCGGAGATGCTTTCCACTGCACTCGCGCTCTTGCTGACCAAATCAGGAAAATGCTTCTCCTGAGATGGAGACTGAGCGGCGCGGTAGCACCGCCTCCCAGAGCGTGACCAAGAACACGGGACCTTCAGCGGCCAACAGCTCGACCGACGAGCAAAAACCCTCCAACGGAACTAATGGCATGATTGGCAACAACCCGCCGATGAGCGGCGTGCAAAGCCAGATGGGCTTCGGCTTCCCCAATCAGGGCGGCTTCAGCAATGGCTTGGCTTGGAACGGGATGCCTAATATCATGGCCAACGGCGGCTGGAACGGCATGAATCCTATGGGTATGTCTTTGGAATAACCTTGCCTTCCTTGCAGGCGACTAATGCCTTGCTAGATTTCAACAACATGAACGGAATGTACGGCAACTTTGGAGGGAACATGGGCTTGGGCATGAACGACATGTCTGCCATGAACATGATGCAGTACGGTGGTGGCTATGGCAATGGATGGAATGGTATGGGCAGTGGCTATGGAAACTTCAGCGGGCCCAATCAGCTGGGTGGCTTTAATCAATCTGGAGCATATCCCGAGATGATGAACCAGTTTCCCAAGAATAATTTCCCAAACCAGAACCACAATCGTTTCCATGCCAATCAAGGAGGAGCACATCCTCAGCGAAACAACAAGAATGGCAGCCAGGGTGGCTTTGGTCCGGGTTGCCAGAATGCGCCTGGTCGTCCGGGCAGCCGTGGCGGTCTTTTGCAAAACGTACGTTCAACCCACCAACGAAAGCTACCGAACCCATACACGGGAATCGGCCAAACTTGGAAACCAAAAACTGACCCGATTCGTTCTACACAGCGTGACGACCAGTCACCTGACGGAAATGCCAACCCTGCTCCTGAGGTGAAGGCCGAGGGCGAGCAGTCGAAGGCGTCCGCAGATCCAACTGAAGAAGGTAAGGACATCGTCGACGATATCCCAGTATCGCTCGAACCACAGACTTCAGCAGATGGGGTTGGTGCTGGCAATGCTAGCGAAGCTGCTGGCGACGACACTAACCAGGCAGGGGGTGGTCCACAATGCGAGACTCAAGACGGCGGTCTGAAGCCTATACAAACTGTAGACTCTGGCGATGCAGACATGCGAGAGTACGACCAGTCTATGATGGGCCCTGGTGTGCCATACCCTCAAGGAATGATGAATCAGTTCCCGGATCAGCACATGAATGCAGCCTTCGACCCCAGCATGAACATTATGGGATACAATGGCAACTATGGTCCACGTGGCGGCTTCAATAACGGGGCTTATGGTGCAGCGACAGTTCTGACAGGTCAGCCAACGGAACCGATTGGTGTCGGTGTTGCAGGCGCGCCAACTGGACCACGCGCGATGAGAGAAGGTCGACCCAACACTGGTTTCTCGAGTCGTGCCCATGGTGGGCGATATGCAGCTCCGCCACCGCCCAAAAGCGTCGCGTCTGCTCAAGATGCGACAACTGCTAGCCCACAGCGTAGAGTTCGATCGTAAGTAGATTTGATGGAGAATGAAGTACAAGCAGTGGCTGACAATGACGCAGGCGGTCACCTCTCCGAGATGAGAGTATGCGGGTCAAGGAACGCTCACCCACGCCTTCTCGACCACAATCACGAACGAAGGGTGATGACAGAAGTGAGCAACGTGACCGATCGCGTTCTGCAGACCGTCATTCTCGTCGCGATGACCGCGGTAGATCCGTTTCGCCATTGAACAACGAATACGAGGATCGCAAAGACCGCAAGCACCATCGATCGTCACGCTATGATGACCGTGACCCGGAGTATGATGATCGTTACCGCGACGAGAAGGGCAGCCGGGGTGACCGTACACGAACTGCATCGGCAGACTCCAAGTATCGTAGCAGCCGTCGTGACAAGGACAAGCACCGTTCATCGCGGTCCCACCGCGACCGGAGCAAGGAGCATCGTCGTCGCCATCGCTCCCGATCACCTCGTGAGGGAGACAAATATGAAGACGAAGAAGCGTACGGCAATGGCGAAAAGGATTCTGATGGCAGTTCACGACGCAAGCACAGGAGCGGGCGCGACCGCTCACGCGACAAGGAACGTGAACGAGACCGCAAGGATCGTAAAGAGCGAGAGCGAGACCGCAACTATGATTACGACCGCGAGAAGGATCGCTCCCGCGACAAAGATAAGGACAAGGACCGTAGGCGGCGTCGCGATCGTGAAAGTGAAGACGATGAGCGTGATTATGGGGACGACAATCACCGCTCTTCACGCCGTAGTCGCAAAGATCGCGATCGCGAGCGACGCGAGTACGATGATCATGAGCGCAAAGACAAGCCATCTCAATTGGAGAGGGAAGAGGATGTCGTCGGTCAGATGATGAAGAAACGCGCTATGTCTCCGCCCTTGAACGCACCAACCGGGCCCTCGGCGAATGGCTTCAGCATCAAGGGCCGCTCAAAGAACGCGGTCATGCCTCCACCGGCCCAACCTCCTACCGGCCCACGAGCTTTCCAGCCCCCCAAGGGTCCGGCTGCTGATCGAAATAAAGACCGAAGCGGCGAAGCTAGGGATCACCGTCGTAAAACCAGCGCGACTTCTACATCGACTATACCAACCGGCCCTTCATCGAAAGACAAAGAAACGTTCCAAGACCATTATGCCGCTGAGCGAGAGCGCAATGCCCGAGAGCGAGACAGTCGCGAACGCGTAGAGAAGCCATCCAGCTCCAGCAAGTCCCTTCAATCACGCATCTCTCCTTCATCTCGCCCTACGCTCTCGAGTAAGCGTAGCAGAGACGACTTTGACGACGAGGCTCCGGTACCCACAGGCCCCAAAGCTGATGCCAAGCCTCCCACAGGCCCCGCCGCGCATCGTGACAAGCGCAGGAAGTCTGGTGCGACGGGTGACGACAACATTGCCAGCCTCTTTACAGCGGGACTGCGTAAGAACGCCAAGGCTAGACGTGGTGGTGTGAGGACTGAAGGCGATGTCGAGCGCGAGATGATGGAGCGGGAGCGGGAAAGGCGGTAAGATGGCTCTTTTGGCCATATGCGCACCGGTTTCCAGACGGGTCTTTTGGGCTATGACAAGGCACGATATGGCTACGAGACAGTGACATGCTCAATCTGGGGGAACTGCTGGGGGAGACCTGAGGTCCTTTCTCTACTTATCTGTATTATACCCTTTGAGACATGAGTCAGAAGATATGGACGAACATGTATGCTGTATACGCAGTAATCAGCGTAGGCTTAGGTACGATAATTAAGAATTCTTGTCCGGAGATGGATACGTTGTGGAATTGTGGTATCGTTTATTCTGTGAAATCTGGGATGTTGGGACGAAGCCGTCACAGGGTTTGAAGCTTCGACATATTTACCGCCTGTGGTTTACAAACTCCTTCTGCTCACCACCCAATCTCGATGCGACGACAGTCGCTTCCCTAATTGCCTTTGCGACGGCGCCCCTGACGCCATCTTCCTCGAGAGACATGAGCCCACCGATGGTGCAACCACCAGGCGTTGAGACTTTGTCCTTCAGCACCGCTGGATGCTCGCCGTTTAGCACGAGCCCAGTGGTTCCCCTCATGGTCTGCGCAGCCATCATCTGTGCCTCTGCTCTTGGTAGGCCCATGGCAACCGCACCATCGGCCGCCGCCTCCAGTATCAGTGCGAAAAAAGCTGGACCCGAGCCACACAGCGCGGTCGCGGCATCCATGTTCGCAGGAGGGAGGTTCGTAACGCGACCGATGGAGCTGAAGACGAACTCAACGAGCTTGTACTGCGCCTCACTGAGGGGTGGGTCCGAAGTCTGGATCACAGACATGGACTCTCCTACGAAAGACGCAGTGTTGGGCATGACCCTCACCACGCGACAAGCGTTTTCTGTCTTCGCCGGCCCGTGGGGATACAGGAAAGCTTCAATCTGCTCCCGCGTCACGCCTGCCAGGATGCTGACCAGCACCTTCCCCTTCAGCGCCTCCCCAACGCCCTCCTCGCCCAGAATCGTCTTGAAGCCATGTGGCTTGCAGCTCAGCAGTACGATGTCAGCCTCCTGCACGCCCTTGAGGTTCTGGTTTGTGAGCGTCTGCAGGGGGAAGTTGTAGTGGCCGAGGGCTTTGCGGACGTTTTGTTCGGCGGGGGCCCATTGGTCGCAGGCGATGAAGTTGGAGAGGTTAGGCACGTCTTTAGAGGCAGAGGCAGAGGCGGGATCGAGCGAGGCTCTCGTCCTGGCAGAGGCGAGCGAGGCCATGACGCCGCCCATTATCGCGATGCCCATGGTTCCTGGGCTTGTTAGCGATGGCTGTGGTTGGGGGGTGGGCCAGACGACGTGCCAGAGCCGAGGACAGTCAACGTGAGAGGCTTGGCTTCTTGTGTGGTCGCCATGGTGGATGAGTCCCGTGGGCGTCTTGGTGGGCACTGTTGGGCAAACGCGAAGGACGAGGGCTGCTGCGTTTCGGGAGCGCGAGATCGGCGCCTTCCCCACGTTCCAAGGTTGGCTTGGAGAAATCTTGAGCTATGGCCATGGCCGACGATATGCGCGCACCTCCCCAAGCTCTCCGCCTGACGCTCCACACGACCTTGCCGTCCAGACCACCAAGACTACCGCCGGGCCCATAGTAGCCACAGACGTGCGCAAGCCCGAGCTCCACCATGGCCGACCCGTTCGAGGTCCGTCAACGCTTCACGACGCTGCTCTCCCACCTCAGCGCATCCCACACGTCGCTCCAAAAGGCCGCTCTCTACGCGTTGAAGAACCGTGAAATGGACGAAGACCTCCACTCCTGCATCCTCGAGCAACTCGAACGCACCAACATGAACACCCGCGCGAACATCATGTTCTTCATCGAATGCCTCTGCGAATACGCCGTCAGGGACAACAACTCGGGCGACGCGAGCGCAATGGGCTACGTCCGCATGTTGCAGAGAGACATACTGGCTGTCGTAGAATGCGTCGTAGGCGAAGAAGGCGCCAACATCCGCGTCGTTCGCAAAGTCCTCAAGACGCTTGAGAACCTGTCCATCCTCATGAAGGAGACTGTCCAAGAACTCGAGGCCGTACTGAAGTCGAGAGAAGTCGCGCATCCCTTCATGGCGACAGATACCTCCGACCCCAAAGACAGCTTTGTGGCTTCTGCCGGTCGGAATGGAGGGCAAAGAATGGACAAACGTCAGATTGAACAGAGGATTGAGGAGGACAGGGAGAGACACAAGAGGTTGCGGGAGAGTATCTGGGCGGTGCCAGGAGACGGCTACGAGGAGCTGGAGAAGCTATGGGATGAGGCCAGCGACATCAACGAGGACGACTATGTTACCGCGAGGGAAGATGCCGAGGAGAGGAGGAAGGTTATTGAGTTCGGATAGAATCCTGACAAAGACCGAGAGAAGATTGAGGCATGGGAAGCGGCCAGAGCTGCTGCGAACGAGGAACAGTCAAGCGACGATGAGGGTAGCCAAAGTTCCAAGACCGTGTCAGTCGGAAATGGTCCCTGGCATGGTGGGCAGGCGGTAGCTGATCTGCATTTACGGCGTTGATTGGGAGCGACAGACATTGCCACAGCATGGCCTAGGCGTTGGGGCAGAGATACCACGGGCTTGTCTCATGACGCCCACATTGTTGTTGGAATTCTGAGTAAACTGTATACATCCATGGTCATTCCAAACATATCTGTACACGCCCAAACGTAATGCTATGATACAGTATTCGTCCTTCTCTCCCAGATCCTGCTCTTCGCCGCTTATAGCATGCCCCTACTCCATGACAACTGTAGCACCCAGCGCCTTGAGCGTCTCGACAATCTTCTCCGCCTCCTCCTTTGGCACACCCTCCTTCATCATCTTCGGTGCTCCCTCAACGAACTTCTTGCTGTCCACCAAACTCAAGCCTAACATGGCCTTGATCTCCTTGATCACCTTGGGTTTCGCGCCGGCGTCGAATTTCTCGAGCTTGAGGTTGAAAAGTGTCTTCTCTTGAGCGGCGGGCGCGGCCTCTTCTTCCTCGACGGCGGCCGCGGCCGCGGGACCGGCACCTCCTCCGGGACCAGCGACAAATCCTCCCATAGGCATGTCGGGTATGTTCAGACGAGTCTGGCGAAGAGTTAGTGGGACAACCTGAACGTCGCTGCATCTATCATCGGTGGCGAAACGGTTTAAAGCCAGGCCTGTCTCCCTTAAACACAATGCAGGTGTGAAGACGGGCATGCTCTACATATTGTATGCGTGCCACTACAGGCTTCCGATGGTCGCCTTCCCACCCCCGTAGCATGTCACCGTACCTTTAACGTCGATACCAAGTCTGCAGTCTCCAACAGAGTCAATTGACTAATCTGATCCACGATCGTCGCAATCTTTGGATTTGTGGGAGCTGCCGCATCTGACTGCCATCTCCGCTGTATCCTCTGCTGTGTGGCTCCAACGGTCGGTCGTACGTATGCGGACTGCTTCGCGGTGCAGATACAGCGCCTGAGCGCGCGGGATGCCGGTGCTGCCATTGTGCTGGAGGGGAAGGCGTGAATCGATGGTGATGATTGTACGTTGCGGGCGTGCCTGCCATCATGAGATTTTGCGGAGCGGATTACGACTAATTGGGTTGGCGTCTTGGCGCGTTCCCAGACCCGCAAAAAAGTTAGAGAACTTCGAGGCCTCAAGACATCACCGCCACAACACCACCTCCCGGACATACTGAAGCGTCGAAACTATGGGAAGGCGCCCCGAAGTCCTATCACAACCCCACCCTTGCAGAAATGGAACGAATCAATACCCGCAAGTCCGGTAAAATGGTCGACATCAACACGCTTGCCACGGAAGCCTTGAAGCCCGAATCCACAGACGACATTCTTGTTCAGCATGGAAGTCTCCTCACAGAACTATGCGCGCGGTGGGTACAGTCTGGCTCAAAGACCGACGCGAAAGTGGCGGCCTTTGGGCGATTACTACCACTTGCGCCTCACCTCGCGGAGCACGTGGAACGATTTCTGGCCCATACTTCTGATTCTCCAATCATCGGATCGATATCATCGATCGAAATCATGAGCGCTACCAGTGATGTTGATCTTGTCGAAGTTCTTCTTGGAACATTCCGACTCGTCAGTTACGACTGCAAGAACTTCACTAACTATGTACGACCGCTTGCTTTGGAGCGCCTGTCTCAGCACACAAGTCGCGTTGTACGGTACCTGGCCATACGGACGCTTTGTTTATACGCGCATACGGCGGATTTTGCGACCCAAGAAATGATCAAGCGATTCCTTGGAGAGGAGGAGATCGAGGGGCCATGGGAAGGTCAGCACATCGACTACCGCTTTTTGTCGCTTTGGGAAGAGAAGAGGTGGAAATATCTACAGAGCAAGATTGGCCAGGAGATTTCCGGGATAGACAGGTACGCGAATGCTTTATATCAGGACCTATCGCCGTATACAGTCAACGTCAATGGTGTTCTACTGCCTCGGTTGGACGGAAGCCCATCCCAAGAGAGGCCTGCCCAGCTCGTCTCGACAGCCACCACAGAGGAAAACCTAAAGAAGATCGCTCATGGACTTCTTGGGTCCAGCCCTATCCTACTCACGGGCCTCGCTGGCTCGGGCAAGACTCTTCTTACGCGTCATCTCGCATGGCAGCTCAACAAGCTCGACGGAATGGTTACCCTTCATTTGAACGAACAAAGTGACGCAAAGCTACTGATTGGAATGTACACTACCGGAGCTAAGCCGGGAACCTTTAGCTGGCGCGCAGGAGTACTCACTACCGCTGTTCGGGAAGGCCGGTGGATCTTCATCGAGGATCTCGATCGGGCGCCAAACGAGGTTATCAGCACGCTGCTACCCCTCATAGAACGCGGTGAACTACTCATACCCAGCAGAGGAGAGACCATACGAGCAGCGCGTGGGTTCCGCATCATCGCCACTATGCGAAGCACCCTTAACCCAAGAGGCCAGGAGATCATACCCCGTCAGAACATGATTGGCCATCGATTCTGGAAATCTGTCACAGTGCAGATGCCTCATCTAGAGGAGTTCCGTCAGGTGATACACGCAA